ATATATAGTAAAGAAGTATCCTATTTGTTATTAGATATGAAATACAGTCTTTTTAATTTACCCAAACTAATGACAAATATCAAGCAAAGTATATTTCAATTATTTGGGTCTAATTTGGTAAAGAAATGTGTTGAAATTTTGAAGAATAGCAACAGAAAGGGGGAAGCCACACATGCACAACAATTACCCATTTGGGACTTACCTTATAGAATTACAATAGTCCCTTATCGTATGAAAATATATTTTTAGCACTAAATAGCATTATAAACTCAATTCCTTAAAAACAATATAAAGTAGCATTTTAAAAAGTTCTAATTTCAAAATAAAAAAAGACACAAATAACCCTTTATATATTTGTATTCGCAGCCCCCTCTAACAATACTCCAAGCCCAAGCAATGGTCAGTGTGGACGAGCCAACAACTTCCGAATCGTCGGTGGCACCAAGTCCGCTAGCTGCGAGTACCCGTGGATGGTGGTGGTTTACGACCAGAAGAACGGCTTCCTCTGTGGAGGGTCCATCATCGACGAGAGCACGATCCTCACAGCTGGCCATTGCGTTTCAAACCCGAACAGGTAAGGAATTTATGAACTACATTTTATTTTACTCGAATTTTTGTTAAAAATATCCTTGAGAATCTGTCTTAAACATAACTTTGCAGGATTCGTGGGTATCTGGACGTGCGTAGGATGTTTATTTGAATTAGAATTCGAATAAGGATTTTACACTTTTTCAACTCTGCAAGTTTATCGTACGCGCTCATTCTCCGAACTCATCACAGCTATTTGCAGCTCCCTTCTTTTAATATAATTGATGTTCATTCGTATTTTTCAACCATAGCAGTTCTTTCAATCAGAGCCCATTATTAATTATTCAATGTCGATGGGCGGTCGGGAAACAGTTAAACTTATCTGCAAAAAAATTAGTAATACATGCATAATGTATGAGTGATGTTCCCGCACTCGCAAAAAGTCTTCTCTGATCTTAGGCAGTCGAGCTTAGCTTGAAACTGAACTGCAATATTGATAACTACAACTTTAGGTAAACCTCTGCAGTTTTATAAATGACATCCCTTGTCTTCCCCAGCCAAAGAAAGGAAGTTCCTTCAGCCCCGTCTGACATGGTCATCTATTCCGGCTCTTCCAAGGTTACTTTTGACTCCCCTCCTCCTCCCGGTCTCCATACCAACAGTGCCAGCAAGATCACCGTGCACGAGAAATACAACGTCAACGGTGATCTCGGTAAGTGAGCATTGCGTGTGCTGTCCTTACTCACACAGGCAAACAAAAGAAGAAAAGAAAAGACTTCACTCGAACAAATTGTATTACTTTCTCAGTTGGTCCATTGCAATTATTACCTTGTTTTTGCTGGTTTGATCTTTTGTGTTACCTGTGTTATGTCAACTACAGTGAAGCATGAGAGAAATTTAAATGCTCCGGTAGCTGCTAAATTCAAATTTTCATGAAGCCATCAGTTTATTTCTGACTTTAATTTTGGTTCATCAGTCATGGGAGACGACTGTGTGTGTGTGTGTGTGTGTGTGTGTGTGTGTGTGTGTGTGTGTGTGTGTGAGAGAGAGAGAGAGAGAGAGAGAGAGAGAGAGAGAGAGAGAGAGACAGACAGACAGACAGACAGACAGACAGACAGACAGACAGACAGACATACAGACAGACAGACAGACAGACAGACAGACAGACAGACAGACTGACAGACAGACAGAGAATGACTGAGTAAGAGAAAGCAGGGAACACGTTATGTTTGAATGGGTAGGAAAAGTTTACTCGCTCTTGTTGTGAACTTGTTTTTTTCAACGCATAAGGCACATGTTTTTAGATCTTTACGTCTTCCTTTATTCCTAGAAAACGACATTGCCATCATCAAACTGAGCAAACCTCTGACCTTTGACCGGTGCCAGCGTCCTGTATGTCTCGTGGACGGCTCTAAGACACCACAGCAAGCTTCTGGCTGCAAGACCATGGGATGGGGAGTCACAAGCAGTGAGTGGTTATGAATCATTATTTTAAGGGGCGTTTCCAAGGGGAGCAACCAACAGGACTACGGTAAATGATGCTCAAGCAAAACAAATCAATGCAAGAAGCCCTAATAGAGATTTATAGAAAGATCGTTCAGACAGCGGGGTACAGCAATAGATGGATGGATGGATAGATAGACAGGAAGAAAGATAGATAGATAGATAGATAGATAGATAGATAGATAGATAGATAGATAGATAGATAGATAGATAGATAGATAGATAGATAGATAGATAGATCCAACAACGCATCAGACTCGTATTGACCAACTTGTGGTCAAAAGAGTGCGGCTAATCTTAGACCTCTACAGAAAGGTCATTCATTGGAGTGTACTTTTTTCCCTGCTGCACTTTATTGACCACATCAGTGGATGCGCAGGTTCTTTGGTACAATTGATGCTTTAGTCACCTTAAGTCACTGCAAGTAGTGTACATTACTTCAGCATATCGTAAATTAAATGTAAATATGAACTACAAGCCATCTTGTTCAGTTGTGAGTACTTTCCCCCTTACTTTCCGGACAGGACAAGCCTCTCACTGTAAGTTTATCTCGGTTGATTTCTTTACAATTAATCCATGTAAATGTTTCCTCCCGCAGACGGGCGCGATGCCGAGTCACCGGACGACATGTTCTGGGCAGCAGTGAACATCGCCACAGACCAAAAGTGTAGGGACTCGTATGGCGGCGACAGCACCACTTTCTGTGCCGGAGGAAACAACAAGGACTCTTGTGAGGTAAGCAAGGGAGATCTTTGTTTCTAAGCGAACATAGATAGGTGGTTCATCTGAAACAGGATCCTCCTCTTGCCGTACCCTTTTTTTTTCTTTTGTATTTTGCTTTTTACCTCCCTTCTTATTCTGCATTCAGAGTGATGCTGGCAATACATCATTCGTTAAAAAGTGGAACATTTTAAAAGTACGATGAAGTCTGCAGTTTTGAAAAAAATCAAGAAGACCAATACTGATTACATGCTAATGGACTAGGGTCTATACGTCCTTATACTATCTCTGACCGTCTAGACTAGGGTGCTCTTTTCACTTTTCCCGATCCTTACAGAGATATTTTTTATAATTTTGAAGAGAAGTAGATCTAAATCGACACAACAACAGTCATATAGTGCAGAAGAGAAGCAAGACAGAAAGACCCAAACAACAGAGCAAAAGAAAAGAAATAGAACTTACCAGTTGTGCCCTACAATCGCCTGCAAGCTTGATTGAAGGAACGTTTAATAAGAAAGGGTTCATGCATACACTAAGAAACAACAAGTGCAGATGTAAAGCAAATAAGTAACTTACGTTCCTGGAATTCTGATCGTGCTTGAAATGAACACGCAAGAAAACATTTTTGTTCTTTAAGTAAAAGCGTCTCCTTGTTGAATTCACGACTTATTATACGTAAATCTATATCACTGAAAACATTGTGTAGAAGTCCAGACTATTATACCAATCTAGTTTCGGTGTACAGTTCTTTTATCTATCTATTCTCTGTGTATTTAATTATAATAATTTCTCTCAACCACTTCTTACCCATCTCTTTAGGGTGACTCTGGCGGTCCTCTGGTGTGCAAGGAAATAGATGGGCGATACTACCAATACGGTATCGTCTCCGCTGGACAGAAGAACCAATGTGGCATAGTCCCTGGCCTCTACACCAGAGTCAGTGCCTTCCTCTCCTGGATTAGCAGTCATCGCAACTAGAGTAACATTATTAACTCAGATTTGTGACATGCAGTTATCACAACAAACACTATTTCAGATTTGTGACATGCAGTTATCACAACAAACACTATTTCAGATTTGTGACATGCATCGGTACATATTATCGTCTCCCAAAAAATAGGTTTTAAATAAATTGTAGTGACTTCCCAACTCCGAGTGCTCTTTCGTTCTTTTTTTTATTGGCGTGTGTGTGTGTGTGTGTGTGTGTGTGTGTGTGTGTGTGTGTATGTGTGTGTGTGTGTATCTGTGTGTGTGTGTGAGAGAGAGTATTTGTATGTATACTGAACGCCATTAAAAACGCAACACTTCGTTCGCATAGCCTGAACACGTTTGTATCAGATGAATATAGATTAAAAGAAATGTTTTTTTAAAAGTTTATTCAATTTCCAACAAATCTGAACCATTTTGATCATAAACGTAAGTGATTTCGATACATTGTCCTTCTCTTGGCGTACTCTGTTAAGACAAATATGCAGATAAACACAAATCGAAGCTCAACAAAGATCTCTTACCCTTAGTAAATTGTGTGGCCATCATTAACATTTAAAGAGACCAAAACACATCTTCACATGGATTTTATAACATTTTCAATCTTAAAAAAAAAAAGAAATCCTGTCCCACTTTCGCGGCAGCCCGATCTTCCAATAGCTGCAGATTCACAAATTTGCTCACACTTTGAGGTTCAGTTTATCCCATACGTGCGCTGTTGGAGACATGTCGGGTACGTACACTGGCCAGTCCATGACATTCATGTTATGATCTTCCAGAAACTGTGTTGTTTGCTAAATGGGCAGTGTAAGGGCAGGAGTGTTGTGTTGGTTGACTGGGAGATTCTGATTTTTTCTTTGTGCTTTTTGGCAGCATAAAGACGGCGCTGTTGTCGCGCTTCGTTAATTGCAGTAATAAATAAGGCGTTCTTGATCTAAGTTCAGTGCTTACTGCTCCGCACCTCACACTGATGAAAGAAACATTTTCATGCACTTCATGTATGCCTTGAGCTGCTACTTTTGAGAAACGAAACGATATCGCAGATGCGACAGCAAAATCTCCCTCTCTTGAACACGGCTGGTCACTCGAGACTGTCCTATTCTTTGCTCATCCCGGATATTTCAAGTGTGCTAAACTCTTTGTACAAGTCAAGAATAACACAAGCACTGCATTGTAGCCGTATTGCTGCTTCCCTGGCAGTTTTTCCGCAATGAACAAGGCAGAAGTGAAAGTTGCGATCAGCTTCGCTAAGTTGACGAGTCTTGTATTGAAAGAAATTATAAACAAAATTGATCGAAAAAAAAAGCTAGGACTTTTGTTTGGAATGAGCTATAGGTCATCTTCCAGGTAAATAATTGTGTATTCTTTTCATAATATAGCAACTAATGAACACAGTTTACTAAAGCATAGTTAACTGTATTGCAGGGGCGAGGGCTGACTTGTTTGACAGGGTAATCAAAGTGAAACGGGATCAGATATGGCCTGTAGATATGACACAAGAATCTTACTCGAGGCGGCGACTCTGAGTTGTGAATGAAAACAAATCCGGAATTCATATTGTATGTTCAACCGCCAAAATAATCGGGAAAGTATCTTATCAAATATCAGTTCCAACTAAAATTAAATTTAACTTAAGTTATGAATACATAAGCACAAAGCAAAGAAGCGGAGATGTCAGTACTAGATCTGTATGTTATAGATCTACCAGTGAGTCTAACTCTTTGGTAGAACATGACAATTATCATTTTTTAAATTTCACATTTGGCTGTTTTTGTTAGCCTTTTGCGGCCAGGAGGTGGTGTCATAAATGAGGTCACGATCTGATTATAGGACGGTAAAAAGTCGAGGAAAAAAAGCAAGCACTTGCAACAGTGAAGAGATTGTTAGGAGTTAGTTCCACTCACATTTGAGGTAGACTCGACCAGTGTTAGTTAGCTTACATAATCAGGGCTTGGGATTGATTATAGCTGTGACCCCAAAGGGGTGAACAGGGTATATGTGGCAATGAAACAGCTTAGACTGCTATGCACATGTTCCCTTCAACTGTATTGGTAGACTCTTCCAGCCTCACTTTAAGCTTACTTAATCAAAGCTTGCGACTGCTTATGGAGTGGCCCGAGAGGGGTGAGGAGGCTATTTCTGTGGCCGTGAAACCGTTTTGAATGTTAGGCATACTGTTCATTGTTGATAACGAACGTCTTTTGACATTTAATTTAAGAGGTTTACGTTTATGGATGAATTTGACAGCGACAATGTTTCAAAATTAGGAAGGGAAGCAGTGATTATTTGATATATAGACGCTTCGCCCCTGCTGTATTGTGATAGTACTCATGAAAATAGCAAAATTCGTTTATGGGTGTGTGGATTAATAACTACTCACTAATAACAATCGTGACGATCAGAGCATATTTGGCTTTTCAACAACCTTTCGAAAACGTTGCTGCGTTTTTAATGGTGTTCAATGTATATGTACAGATATTAATAAATAAATAAATATAGAATACACACACACACACACACACACATATATATATATATATATATATATATATATATATATATATATATATATATAAAACACGCATATGTGTGTGTGTGTGTGTGTGTGTGTGTGTGTGTGTGTGTGTGTGTGTGTGTGTACAACCTATCAAGGAGTGTTGACCTACTTATACTTCCAGGAAAGTCAAAAGTAGTAAAGCTAGGAAAGGTTTCAAGCCCTGCTGGGACAGTGGAAGACACTCCCCTGGAAGAAATGGACTCCTTTACCTACCTTGGAAGTGTCATCGATGGTAAAGGTGGAATCAAGACATATGTTAAAGCAACGGCCAAGGCAAGGTCAGTATTCAATCAGTTATCAAAAGTCTGGAAGGCAAGCAACATCTCACTGCGCACCATGACCAAGATTCGACTCTTTTACTCCCACGTCAAATCTATGCTCCTCTACGGCTGCGAAACTTGGAAGACAACAAAGACAGTACTGAATAAAGTCCAGACTTTCATCAACAGATGCATGAGGAGTATTCTAAGAATTAAGTGGCAGGGGTGAAAAGGCATTGATGATTATATATATATATATATATATATATATATATATATATATATATATATATATATATATATATATATGTGTGTGTGTGTGTGTGTGTGTGTGTGTGTGTGTGTGTGTGTGTGTGTGTGTGTGTGTGTGTGCGTGCGTGCGTGTGTGTGTGTGTGTGTGTGTGTGTGTGTGTGTTGGAGAGATGGCCGGGTACTCATCCCTACCAGCATGAAGTGAGGGAAATTCGCGTAAAGTGCCTTTCCCAAGGACACAACGTCAGGCCTGAGACTCAAATCCTCGAACCCGCAACTACCGCACCAGAGTTTTACGGTACTTGCAACACAAATTCATTTAAGTCAGATTATTTGTAAGCGCCAACGATTATAGCAGTGTAAATCAAAAACAAAACCAAAACCAAAAGCCCAAAACAAAAATACCCCCCCCCCCCAAAGAAAAAAAAGATAGAAGAAACAACCAATCCAAAACCCAAACAACAACAACCCAAAACTAAAACCAGAAACAACGAACACCCCCCGGCTCGGAAAGGCTCTATTTGGCGACCTTACCAAAAAGTAAAATCTGCCGCTTCACCGATAGTTATAGCTGTGGTTAATACAGACTCCATAGATGTACACTCTAAGCACTAGATATAGTACGCCCCTCTCTCGTCTTGCTGCGCGATGGCCACATTCGACAGCGACGTTCGCCATGTTTTTTGTGGCAAGCTGTGTGAAGGAGTTCATACTAAAGCAACGGCTTGGCATGTTTTCTGTCTCATGCGCAATAAACGAGGCTTGGCTCTTGTTAATTTTTTTTTTACATGGGCGCCGTGGTGTATTATAATATCTAGACTACTAGAAAGCAATAATACAGCGTACTTTCTACTACTAGATCTACAAATAAATGTATTATTAAATAGATAGAGATAGATAGGCTTTAAAACAGACAAACAAAAATAACAGCAAAACAATGTTATTTCTTCTTCAACACTTTATCTACGAGATGGTTTATTTCTTATTGACTGGATCAAAGCGTATAAAAGGCTTATAGAACTTTTAAGAAGAAGTATGAAAAGATGTGGGTGTAATGGAAGCATCACTACCACACCCTCCCTCTCTCCCCTTTCGAATCCCAATTCCAAGCCCCCACCCCCCAATTTAGGAGTTAGACATTGTATTAAATCAAGATTAGACATAGAAAAAATTCAGGAGTTTTTATGCCATTAGGGTAGGAAGGCAATGAAGCTCTTGATAAAACAAATTCAGCTAAAGAAATGATGAATATATGTACTAGTATTATGAAAAACCGGTTAAACTTTCCCTTGTGACATTTTTACAGGAAACTGTATTTTTCATACTTGTATTCACTTATTTTTTGAAATTATACCAAATAAGTAGTGTTTACTATTTTGGTCTTAAACTTTGGTTTATATTGATTTTAAAAACTAAAGTAGACCATACAGCACTTAAACTAAAGCTCCTTCTATTGCTGTTTTAAGTAAGTCTATTTTTGGACATCAGCCTTGTAAAACAACTGTGGACTCACTGAAGATAAGAAGTGAAATTACCGTTGATTTAAAAAGGAGATAACTCTATGTATAGACAAGATCTATATCATAGTTAGTTCCAGACAGCTTGCTGGTGACGACACTCGATACTAGGTGGAGTCAAAGATCGTACATAACAAGAAAGTTCACTCCTCTGTTTGAGCCAATTTAAAAAATGTCCTCAATTCCAGTGGCGGCCTCTTCGAAAAAGCGATGACTTTGGGAACAGAGTCACCCTACTTGTGAGAAAAAAACAATAAAAGCGAAACTAACAAGCTGTGCTATTCCTATTCTTCTTCTGGAGAAAGGAAAGAGAGCGTCAAAACAAAGACAGCAGTGCCCATCTGAAGCAATGCACAGACTTCCACGGACACCTTTTAGGCCGAGTGAAGTATCTTGTTATGTACGAGCTTTGGTGGAGTCAAAAGGTAATGCAAGCTGTTTGCTATTTTCCCCCGAATAACGTACAGCGCTCATGTACAGTTCTTACGTCACACGTACTCTTGAATTCAAATTATTATTATTATTATTATTATTATTATTATTATTATTATTATTATTATTTTTTTTTTTTTTTTTTTT